AGAAATCCGATATTTTTTCACATAAATCGAATCGTTCATCAATCCGCAGTATTATCTGACGAAGTTTCAACTACACGAATTTTATATTTTAGCGCCGTTTTAACCATTAGGCGAACTCGTCGGTCGCCTGAGGCTCGGGAGCGTTAAGAAATAAAGCAGGAAAGTAAGAGAAGTTTCGTCCACAAACACTTCTTGTTCACTGTTGTCACTATGATACGGCACGCTGTGAGAGCAACGATTGAGTCAACAATAGCTGTCCGTTGCTGTTGTAAAATCGAATATCCACTAGATCCCATAGATTTAACGTGTGAATAAGACCGTAGTGTGAATAAAAGTGTGTGAAGTCGACTAAAAATTAACCATGCGTCCCAGCGAAAAACTATCTATTGTCTCACCTGCTTGCTAGCCTCGGCTGGGCCTCGTCTATCAATCTGCAGGCAATACTTCAATAGAAATCATCTCGTCTTTGAAACAGGGTGTCCTCACTTGAATGTGTCACCACGCCTTTATTATCGTATTTCTATTTTGGTAATTCAACATGTGTTCTGAAATATTTTTCAAAGAATTTACCGAATCTGAATCTGAAATACACACTGACTAAGAACAATTCCCTTTGTTTCAGATGGAATGATCCCAATTTTATTCGATAATGATATATAGATAATAATTATTTTTGAATTCAGATTGACAAGCTTCATCGAATTCTTGAAGAAATATGGATCATTTCATTTGAACAAAAAAGTCTTTGTGACCTTCCTATATTTTGTTGACATAAGAAATATGAGCACAGTTTCAAGAGAATTTGTGAGAACTTCTCACAGAGAGAATATTAAATCCTTAACCAAATTATGCGAGTGCTAATTTACAGCTGCAACAGTATATTAGTACTGATTTACAGTCGCAAGTTGCAACTGTGCATTAGTGGTCATTTGCAGTTGCAACTATAAACAAAAAGTGTCATCAGGATAGCAGTTCGGTCGTGTCGTATGTGAAACCTTAGCTTTGGCACTTGATATCTCCAAAGCATTCGATCGAATCTGGCACCACGGACTCCTCGCCAAGCTTCATTTTATAGCATGCCTTTCCAGCTATGTTTTCTGCTACCTAGTTTCCTTTCAAACAGGTCTCTCCATGAAGTGGTCGACGGAGTTTCATCTGACCCTCTTATCACAAATGCTGGTGTTCCGCAAGGATCAATTCTAGTACCAACACTATTTCTACCCCATATCAACGATTTGTTGTAAGCAACTTCATGTCCAGTACACAGCGTCGCGGATGATAGTACTCTCCATACCGCCTTCTCTTCCAGGGCTTCAATAACATCAGCCAGGCAAATCAGAAACGAACGAGGAAGAAATGTTGACAACATAAATATGGACTCGGCAACAATTTATAACTTGGTAGATTCCAATGCAAATAAACCCAGTAAATGCAGTAAACCCAAATTGATCCTTCACATTTATGATTGGGATCACACTGGTGATTCGATTTGTGGATCACATCGACATCTCCAGATCCTCTAGTTGGGACCCTTTTGGTCACTTTTCACTTCACATTTAGATGTCGAATGGGACTCAAAGTTAGCTGATTGTTACTCCAGATTTCACGTTGAAATTGGATTTACATTGAGGTTACATTATAATGAGAATGTGAGGTTTAGAAGACCATCGACTATTTCTGAATGTAAGGTTTTGCTCGATTATTGTACTGATTTTGTAGCTTCCCTGAAAGAATCATATTGTGCGTCTCAGAAATGCTACATAGACATTTAGTTTTGATGTCTCAAGTGAAATCACATTCAGATTGATGGAGGTATTCAATGAGATGACTAATCGGTCTCGAATATCTGTCAAATAGATCAATCAAAGGTTCCACAGGGCACCTCGATTTTATTGAAAATAAAACTGATTTCACATCAGAATAGATGAGTACGTACATGTTATATTGATCAAAACTACCTAGATATAACAGTGATTGAAATCTGATAATCAGCGCAGGCCTAGACTTTTTCGAATAATTATACAGGGTATATATCTCCATGAGTTTATGCAATGTATATGGAGAACTGGAAATAGCACAATTCTGAAGATTCGTTGAGACTGTGGAGGAAACATGAAGAATCCAACCAGGATATTTTCGTTATTGTGAAGCTCTCGATATTTCTAGAAGTGACGTCATCTTTTGTTATTTTCCATGGAACATCGTGAATTTTTCAACATTCTTGTATTTCTTTCATGATTTTGATTCAAATTTATGTATCATACCTTTAACCTGAAATGAGGCGTTTCTGAGTTATTCGAGTCTTTCTGGAGAATCGAAAATAAACGCCATTTTCATGTGAATCACAATTTCTAGTGATATGCAGTGATTGAATGTTCCAAAAATTCAAAAACAGTTCATTTCAGGTATATATAGGGTATGATACGATAATTTAAATCAAAATCAATCAAAAAGTCGTTTTTGAGTCGTTATTTTACTTTTTCTGGAAAATCGAAAATAATCGTCATTTTCATGCGAAATACAATTTCTAGTGATATGCAATGATTGGATCGTGAATATTGAAGGTTGAATGGGTCACTCAAAATAATCATAATAAATTACAGGGTGCGCAGTAAAGTGGGTCCAGAAAGTGAATGTGAAACATTGAATTGACAATTCCAATAGGGAAGGTAATTCAAACTAGGGCTCATTATCATTATAGAATTGAATTATGCTATGAAAGAACGGGGTTTTCATTTGAAAAATTGTTCAATGTTTCAGATTCACTTTTTGGATACAATTTTCTGCGCACCATGTAAATCATTCGGTGGTGGTGATCTTGGTCAGTTATCCGTTCAACGTTCAATATTCACGAATTAATCACGGCATATCACTCAAACTTTCAATTCGCATAAAAATTGTTTATGTTCGATAGTCTGCATTTGTCAGTTTTTCAAGAGGAACTCGAATAATTCAAAAACTGTTCATTTCAATTATATATATAGGGTATGATACAATAAATTGAATCAAAGGCTTGGGAGGAATTCAAAAATGTTGGACAAAACAGGGTGTTCCATTGACAATAACAAATATGACGTCACTTCCGGAAAAATCAGAAGCCTCACAATAACGACAATAATATTTTAGATGCAGATTCTCCATGTTTCCTTCACCGTCCCTACAATTTGTCAGAATCGTGCTTCCTTTCCTCCATATATAGATCGCGTTAACCCATAGAGATATACCATATAATAGTCAACAAAATCAACTTGAATGATATCAATCCAACTATGAGAACACATGAAGCCAAGAGAATCCAATATATGCTCCTCATCGCTCCTTCCGTTGTAGTATGGTAACCAATCCCTGCTCAGAATTTCAAATTGTTCCAAGGTTGTCCAGATGTATTTTGTGATTTGGCATCTGATTTCATTTTGCTCATTTCCTGTTGAGAAATATATCTTATAGAGATTGAGTAGAGAACCATGATGAGAGTATTGAAAAATGTTCGAGTCACTTCAATATCTACATGGAGTCGTGTAAGATGGAAATTATTCATGAGAAGATGAAATCACACTGCATACCTACTGTTCTATACCGGGTGACAAGGAAGATAGAGAATAGCTGCAGCGCATTTTTTCCTTTCATTCATAATATTTTGCAATAATTTTGTTCTTTATCAGATTTTCCTAATTTACAATCAGAATATGCATGTTTACTCATACCCTGATCCCAAAATGATATATTCCAAGGTATCATTGTAAGTATCATCATATAGTCTTGAAATGGCGACGTAGTGTCGTCTACTCTGTCTTCATTGTCAACCAGTATAGGTATATTATCGTATCAAGTTATGAACGTTGTAGTTACTTACCCTGTAACTTAGATGGGAAACACACAACATAATCTTCAGTCACAATCATAATTTATGATTAGAAAGAGATGCTTCAGTATGAGCAATAACGCCAAACATAAACTGCATACCTACTAAAACCGAATAAACTGAAACAACGACACCGACCGAGTGTGTACGAATCTTAACATAAGTCACATTGTGCGCTACATTTATGAGAATGTGAGAACAATGATATTTCCTAGTATTGTTCGATATTACTTTCATAAATGAATTTCCTTGAGATGTTAGAGAGATTCACAAGTTGAAGCATATTTTCGTTTTTTCATTCTGCACAATGTTAATCGGTTTGTCAATTCAGATAGGTACATCAAATTATGACTCTCAACTACTGGAATTTCAGATTTTGAAATTATTGCCTTCGTGATGTTTATGAGCTCCATGAATAATATATTCATATTGGTCTCAGAACCAACAGAATGTGATGAAATTTGCGAAATATTTGTCACACAAGGAATTCCTTACCTTTCTTGGGAAAATCACGAGAGATCAATTGCTATAAAAGTGCATCCCAAAAACTTGGTTTTCTGTTTCGGGCCAGGAGCTATTTCACTTCCAGTCAGCTGCTCATGATCTATAAGACACAGATTCGACCTGTCCTGGAATACTGTTTCTATATTTGGAGTGCAGCACCCAAACATACCTTGAAACTGTTGGATTATGTCCAAAAAAAGGCAATTTGTCTCGTGGGTGATGCATCGCTCACAAACTCACTCACTTCTCTGGAACACCGTGGAAAAGTTGGTGATCTGGCTCTATTTCATAGATATGATGCTCTTGTGAAATATCAAAAATTTCCCCTCCTTTGGCAGTCCCCGCGAGATTAATCCGTCGAGTTGGGGCTTCGCACCCCTTCGTGGTCACTTTGGAGACCTGCAGCACATCTCTTTCCAAAGACTCGTTCATTCAACAAACAGCGAGACTCTGGAACACATTGCCAAGGGAGGTGTTCTTCGAGACATCTGACATTCAGGATTATGAGAAGAACACCAATTCCTACCTTATTTCCCTTGGTTCTCACGATGTTTTCTGAACATTACAGGATATCCCTTCTCGTGGGAACCACAACATTAAAAAAAACATCTTACTGATAATTTTTTTTCCACAGGTGTTAGATTATGATCAAGAAGAACGTGAAGTTTTACCAGAAAGATCAAGTTGTCCAGTAGTGGTGAATGGTTTATTCAAGTATTCTCTTTCAAACAATGCAATTGTGGCAGCAATGGAATCAGATTTCGAATCAGCAATTGATAAATCTGACGAATCTGATGATTCTCCATTCGAAACGGATATTCGAACAAAAAGATTTACCAGGTATTTCAATGAACACTCTCACCATCATTCATCTCGATTGCATCCCTCATTGTTCCATTGCTGAGGCACTTTCTGTATGTCATACTTCAGTACAGATCGAATCATTTTGGAAGTCACTGTATGGGCATGTACATTCTATATATTTTTGCGTATGTTGCTGATTGGAAAGAATGCAATTCAATACTATTTCTCGTTGAAGTCTAGGAGGAATATCCATATTGGAATGACGAGGCCTTCGAATCAGTAATTTCAACATAAAAAACATGAAGTGAGTATTGAAGTTATCTCTATTATCGACATTGGCTTGAAATTGATTGAATAATTACAACACGGTTGAGTGTAATAGGTGAGTTGAAGATTCAGAGTTTTTTGGAATGATAGTTAACATAACAAAAATTATTCCTGCTCCAAAGAACGCACAGGAAGAGCTCCAGAAGAACACGAAATACGATTTAAAAAAATCTGATATAAGATTCTTACATGGGATTCACTGCAAAATTTGCATATTCCTCTATATTTCCATATTGAACTTTTAATGTTATCAAATCCTTCATCTCCTCTCATGATCAGATTTTTACTTTTATTCCAAGAGTCGGGTGCAAATTTCAACCTTCATCAGATAACGAAATGATTTTTGTTCCAAAAGCATGTAGAACATTGTGGTTTATCGACCGGCACTTGTGCCAATCACTATCTGGAGCGAAATGATTGAGAAATTGCACCCTCCTGTGCGGAAATTAGCACTGGGTTTCGAGCTTTAATAACGAGATAAGAATCATGCCATCCGATACGAACTGAATGGCAGATTTTGAAAACCTTTATGTGCCATCCCTTAGTCTGAGCCGAATTCACGGCACAGCAATCAATTGGCTGCTATCATTCTTGACATACTTCCGTCATGTAATAACGAGTTGAAATATAAAGCAAATAAAAGAGGATCGACTTCGCGAATATTCAAACCTGCCACGATTCAAAGCGTCAATACTTCCCGGAAGATTATATTCCTCTCATAAGACAATATCCGATGGACCAGTGTGGAACTCGATATGTGGATCAGAATACTTGTAGTGTGGGCACACTGGTCCATCAGTTATCATCTTTTGACGATAGCGAAATATTCACGAAAATGATGAGGCTCTACCACTAACTCAGATTAGTTCGAATCATGGCACATGGGGATATCCACAATAAGAGGGTCATTTTTCCCTTTCATTTGCCTTTTATTCCAACTCTTCATCACAAGCCAGAAGTATGTCCGGAATAATATAGGAACAAATATATCGCTGTGTCGTTGATTTGGGTCAGACTGATGGTTGACACAGGTAGGTTTCTGAGATCTACCATTGAATTGGTATCGGCTGGCAAAATCATTATCTCGTTATCGAATCGCGAAATATAGTGCATATCTCCGCAGAGGAAAGTGATATTTTTTTATCATTCTGCTCATGATAGTGATTGACACTGGTGCCGTTTGATGAAATACAATGATTTTACAATCCTAACGGATATATATCATCTCTTTTTCAGATGACGGTAGGAATTTGCAGCCGGCTCTCCTACTATTTGTGATGAAATTAAGTAGTAGAACTCTTTTCACGATGAAACTGCAGAAACGCATTACTATGAGATGGACTCATCAATAAATTGCCAGAAATATAGGACTTATCGAACAAGGCAAAAGATGAGTGATTCACCATAAATGTCCCCCCCTCTAGCTCAGTTATTTTTGAACCGATTTTAAAATTTGAAATATCATCTTAAATGATTTTCGATAAGTTTTTTTTCCGCTAGATCAGAAAATACAGGGTGCTCGGAACAAACGATCTACAGGGTACTATTTGATTTTTTTAAAGAAACACCCTAGTTTTCATTGTATTTTTAGATTCTCCCTGAAGAGTTGATTTGATCAATGTATTACACTTGGGGTCTAGCGGGACTGATTACAGAGATATAGGGTGTTCAAAATCGAGATTTTTAACTTTAGGATTTTTTTGTAACGAAACTATTCATTATCGGTCACGCGGTTTTCATGTCCGTATCTTAACTTTCGATTTACTATCTACTGACATTTAATAATTGGAACAGATACAGGGTGACCAGAATTCTGAATCTTGAACCACCCTGTGAATGTTCCAATTAAATTTCACTAGATAGTAAATCAAAAGCTGAGATGGGAACAAAGAAGCCGTTTTGACCAATAATAAATAGTTTCGGCACAAAAAAATCCTAAAGTTGGAAAATCTCGATTTTAAACACCCTATATCTCTGTAGTTCCCGCTAAACCCCAAGTGTGATACATTGATGAAATCAGCTCTTCAGGAAAAATCTAAAAATATAATAAAATACAGGGTGTTCCATTGAAAAAAATCAATTAGTACTCTGTAGATTGTTTGTTTCGAGCACCCTGTATTTTCTGATGCAACGGAAAAAAAATGCTGAAAAATCATTTTAGATTATCTTTCAAATTTTCAAAACGGTTCAAAAATGACTGAGCTAGAGGGGGGACATTTATGGTGAATCACCCTGTACACAATCCAATCCTCCTTTAGCAAACTCTTCAGGGTTCACATTCAGTGGGGATCTACTCTGAGGAGAATTGCGGAATTCAACTATTTATTGTCCTCCAATTAGTTCAGAACTCACTAATGACCTCATATTGCTTTCGAAACTTTGATGAACTTTGATAAACGCCTCATCGCCAGTTTCTATTGGTTAGCTTTTGATAATGCCCCTAAACTCATTTCCGACAACCTTCTCTGACAATTCATCTGATTGAAGAATTAAAATTTTTGGTTCACGAGTGGGACTTCATTCTCGTTCAGATGCTGCTCAAACGGCTTGATGTAACAGTTGCAACTCAATTTGAAGTGCATCATAATTCCTCTAAAATTCATCGTTATCAAAATTTATCCGATTTCCTATCAAAATTCTGCGTGGCATTGGATAACTTGAATATTTCCCGAAAAAACATCAGAGGTAAATCACCTGATTCACGAGAACCCAATGTTATCGATTTACGGTCCACGACGTCTTTTTTTTCGCACGCACATAATGAAATCAAGTCAAAATTTGAATTTTTTTCTATCGCTTGGAGCACACGAAAGGAAATCCCTATAATGTTCGAAGAACATCGTGCGTTCTTGATAGGAGGATAGGGGCAGGATGAGGTAGGTATTGGAATTTTTTCTGAACTTCTGGAGATTATATTATGTTGTTGGGAATACTTCCTCAGGCAATGAATTCCAGAGCCTAGCCGTTTTATGGATAAAGGAGTTTTGATTAAGTGCTGTTCGACATCAATCGAGGTTGACAACGAAAGGATGTGCTGACTGGACTTGTCTAGTTCGTCTGACTGGTATTGCTAGTAAAGGGATGTCAGCAGAGATTTCCGAAGAATATTTCCCGTGGAAGTATCGATAGCAAAAGTGAAAGGTCGCCGACCTTTCTACGGTGTTCCAATGATGTCAAAGAGTGAGTGAGTGTGGCGTCACCCACCAGGCGAATGGCTCTTCTCTGGATGAAATCTAAGAGCATCAGCGTATGTTTTGGTGCTGAACCCCATATGTGGGAACAGTATCCTAGAACAGGCCGTATCTGCGCTTTGTAGATCATGAGAAGCTGTTGAGGTGTAAAGTAGGTAGCTTTTCGCACGGAACAAGAATCCGAGTTCATGTGAATCAGCTTCAGCGATGGATCTGACATGATTATCCCATGGAAGAGTGTTGCTGATGGAAATACCGAGCATAGATATGGTGGGCTTGGTGGGGATAGTGGTGCCAGACATTAACAATATCGGGCATACTGAGTTCCGCCTTTCTAGAAAATCCAGGCTTGAGTTCTGGTGGCGTTGAATTCAACTAGGTTGTTGGTTCCCTAGGCTGTGATTTCAGCAATGTCTTCATTGACAGCATTGACCCGCCTGCGCCGTGAATTCTCAGTTCCTGGGAGAAAATGGTAATTCTGGAAGAGAACGCAGTATGGAGGGTACTATCATCTGCAAAGCTGTGGATGGGGCAAGTTGTTACTCCCAACAGATCATTGATATGTTTCATTTGTGTGAAATCTGATCATCAAATTCATCAATGCTCAAAATTTTCGGAGCCCAATGTCCATGAACGTTAGAAGTGGACCAAAGATGAGAAACTCTGCATTGATGGCCAGTCACAGTCATAGTTTCCGATCTTGCGCAAGTATTTTTAAATGCCACGAATGCTGCATTTCGAGAAAACTTCTCTTGTTACAAGTGCCTTGACCACTTGTTCCCACGCTGCTACATCTGATTCTTGTTCCGGTAACCCCAGCACTTCCGCTACACACTCTGACTCGAATTCAGCACCTCACCCTGTTCATTCAGGAATGTGTATTTCTCAATCGACTATCTCGCTCTTGACGGCTTGAACAGGAGTAATTGATATTGATGGAGTTCTTCACTCATTACGTGGTCTGCTCGATTCCGGAAGTAAGACTTTCACTCCGAAGAGTGTGAAACGGTTAGGCTTTCGACTTTCTCACGTATGTATCAACATTGATGGAGTAGGCTCGACTAGTACCCTGGCCAATCAAGGAAGAGTTACTATTTCTTTCCGACCTATACAAGAACTCAGTCTAGTTCTGAGTGATGACCCTTTTGTGTTGCTTAAAATTCGCGATAATTTGACATATCCTAAACTTCCCTCACATAATTGGATTTATGCTTCCAATCTCAAATTGTCTGATACCCACGCTGATTGTTCAGTTACCCTTTCGAAAAGATCCTACGTTGTTTTCAGGCATGTGTCAGTTAGATCTCCAAAGGTTTTATTCCTTAGAAAAACGATTGGCTCGTCGACCAGCTCTATATGATCAATGTATGCAATCATGCAGGAATATCTAGAACCTCGTCATATGAAGCATGTTGGAGATTTGCTCAATTAGAATCATGATAATCAGTTTCCTCAACACCCAGTTATTGAGCCTGATAGTTTGTCAACTAAACTTCTGGTCGTCTATAATGCATCTGC